GTGTTTGTGTTTTCCCAACCTGTTCCCTCGGCTTCAAGCAAATTGCTGAAAATGCACCCCAGTAGTTACGTGGACACGCTTTCCTGGAAGTTAGTCCTGGGCTCTGCCAGATCCCTGCTTGCTTCCTCATCATAACCCACACCTTTAAGGGCAGGCAGTGGTCTTGGGTGCATTGGCCGTATTCTGTAATCAGCAGAGCTGCCTTGAATTCATGTATTGGTTCATCATTATCCAGAGGAATAATGTGTGCACAAATGAGAACTGAACGGACCCTTCCAGAAAAGAGTGCAAATTGGGCCCCTCTAGCTGCTGGGTTGAGGGTGACCTTGAGAACAGCTGAGCAGGGGTGGGGTGGGGGGCTGGAGTGTGGAGTAAAATGCACTTTCCCCAAGCAAGCACTGCTGGCTGATACAGAGTATTAATTAGTGCAAAGGGAGTTTCACCATTTTGACGCCCTCCTGTGAGCCTTTATTGGATGAATTTAAGTGTGTAGGATGATGTATGCCACTTACGGGGTTGCACTGTGTCCAGGTGGGCAGAAGGTTCTCTGGTGTCTCCGAATTAAAAACAAAGCTTGCTTGCTGGCATCCACTGTGGGTTGGAATAGAAACGAAAGAGAGCGAGCGAGTGAGCGAGCGAGAGTGCTTAAGAAAAGCTGCCTGTTTGACAAATTTCTAGCACAATTGCTTTTTCAAAGGGCACATAGAGGTGGTTCATTGGCGGACTCGTTTAAAATAAATAATTGATTCTAGCTGATTTATTAAATAGGGTTGTTCGTTTAATTGTAATAGGTTCACGCTTCACTTCATTCTGCTTGATGGCTGCCTTATTAAAGCCATAGTGAAGGTGTGTAAGCCGGGCCCATCCTGCGTTCAGAGCACCAAGTGTTTGCTGGACATATTTTGCCTCTGTCTTTCCCACGGCTGGACGTCTGCAACTGAGGAAGTGGCTTGTTCTTGGGAATCTGCTGGGATTTCCTTCAGGCCAGAAGTGAACAGGGTGGTGCCACAGTGTACACAGTCTACCAAGATCTGCAGCGGGAATACTAATTTCTATTGTATTTAAAGCACAGCCCTTCATCCAGTAAGAATTCAGGGTGGCGTACAGTGTCTCCAGATCATAATGATGGTGTTGCTTAGCATGTCCGACTCCTCGTGAGCCCATGGACCAGTTGGTGGTGTTTAGTGTGTCCGACTCTTCGTGAGCCCATGGACCAGAGCACATGCCAGGCCCTCCTGTCTTCCACTGCCTCCCGGAGTTTGGTCCGATTCATGTTGGTCGCTTCAGTGACCCTGTCCAGCCATCCCGTCGTCTGTCGTCCCCTCCTCCTTTTGCCTTCACTCTTTCCTAACATCAGGGTCTTTTTCAGGGAGTCTTCTCTTCTTATGAGATGGCCAAAGTACTGGAGCCTCAGCTTCAGGATCTGTCCTTCCAGGGAGCACTCAGGGTTGATTTCTTTCAGAATTGACAGGTTTGATCTCCTTGCAGTCCAGGGGACTCTCAAGAGTCTCCTCCAGCACCACAATTCAAAAGCATCAATTCTTTGGCGGTCAGCCTTCTTTATGGTCCAGCTCTCACTTCCATACATTGCTACTGGAAAAACCATAGTTTTGACTATTCAGACCTTTGTTGGCAAGGTGATATCTGCTTTTTAAGATGCTGTCAAGGTTTAGCATCACTTTCCTCCCAAGAAGCAGGCGTCTTTTAATTTCATGGCTGCTGTCATCATGTAGCACAGCAGGAGAAAGGGGAGCTGGCTCTCTAAGCCTTTCTCACAAACGGACTTGCTTTCTATATGGGGGGGTGGGCTTTTTGTTGTGCTTGCCTTGTTTTTGTCTGGAGATCACAGTAGGAGAAAGGGGAGCTGGCTGTCTAAGCCTTTCCCACAAATGGACTTGCTTTCTATATGGGGGGGGGGTTGTGCTTGCCTTGTTTTTGTCTGGAGATCGTTTAAAAATAGGACGCATCCACTGCTGTGTGAAGGGGTGCCCTCCCCAGTGTGCCCCCCTTCTCCTGATGTCCTATGTTGAACAGAGCGGGGAGACACAACAGCTTTGTTGGACTGAAGCTCCTGGAAGGCTCCAGCCAGCAGGAGCCCAAGGAAGGCTCGCCAGGGTTTCTCAAGAGTCGCAGAAAGAAAAGAGGCGGAGGAAGGTGGAATGGGAGAGAGGAGAGGGGTCCAGGAAAAATCACCCATACGGGCCACCAGGCTTCTAGTTCGTTTTATTTCTTAACCTGCATCCTCCCGAGCAGTGTTCAGTTTTGAATAGAACCCCACAGGTCAGGAAGATTTACTCTTGGACTTCAGCTGCTGTGTAACACCCCCCCCCCAAAAAAAGAAGGACCTCCCCACCCTCTGGGAGAGGCACCGTATTTTGTGCTAAATCCATGTTTTGCACCACAACGTGCGAGAGACATTTCTTGGGACTGTCTCTTCCCCTGCAAAACCCGGTCTCTCATTCAAACGGCGCAAGGCGTCCTTTCCCTGATGTGTTTGTTCACTATCCCTGCCGGTTCTGTCAAACAGAAGCTGTTCCCGCACCACGAACCCAGGGCAGCCTCCTTTCCCACTCTGCACCACATCTGTTGGGGAGTTTGGGGGTGCTGTTCTGCAAAGCCAGCATGGTCTGGAAGGGGGCAGATAAATGAAGGCTCCTTCTTAAGCCTTTCTTTTTTAAAGGCGCCACTTTGGAGGCAGCTGGCCCTCTTGCCTAGATGTCCATTTGCCATTTTCCTCTGCTCTTTTGCTCTGCGCTGGCCTGGGGTTGGGACCTTCCTAGGGTAGGGTGGGGTGGGGGGACCGGCCCCACCCACGAAACAGGAACTCAGCCGAATGTCACTTCCATTTGAAACAAAAAGCAACTTGATCACAAAGCGCCCTCCAGCTCTCAGATGGGTTTGTTGTGCGTGTGCGTGTTTAAATAAAACGGATTTGTTTCCCTAGAACAAAGTCTTCCCCATCTGGTTTCAGAGGAGGCACCTGCCACCCAAGAAGCAGGATTCCCCCATCCTGGGGAGAGATCCTGTTCCATCTTCCTCTGCTGGGCACTTAAGGCCACAAAAACAGTTTTCGTGTATGCTTTATTATCTTTTTTTTTTAAAGAGCTGAAACTATAATCTTTCATAATGTGCCAAGTTAAGGCCTGAGTGCACTAGTCTTTCACTGACTTATCACCGTATTTAATTTTCTTAATTAAATTTTATTTTCTTAATTAAATTAATTACATCTTCTTAATTACCTTAATTAAACTATCTTAATTAAATTAATTAAATTTTCATGTTTTAAATGTCTCGATTATTTTATTATTTCATTTAATTTGTTATTTGCTTTATGTTAGAATCATAGACTAACGAAGCTGGGAGGGGCCTCCGAAGGCCATCCAGTCCCAACCCTGGAGCTCCAGGCAGGAATCCAAATCCAAGCAGATCTGCCAGACGGTGGCCCTATTTTCTCTTGAAGGTCTCCAGTGCACGAGTGCTCGCCACCTCTCCAAGTCATGGGTTCCATTGTGCTGGCAGTGATTATGTTATGTTCTTGTTATGCTGCTATTATTTATTCATGTTTAACTGACAGGAGTAACCATTGGGTTAGATGGGTGATAGAAAAATCCAATCAATCAATTAATCAATAATCAACTTAGACTCCAAAAAAGGCAAATGCTATTTTAGGATGCATTGACAGATGTAAAGTCGCCAAATCCCGCAAGGTGCCAGCCCCCCTCTGTTCAGCACTTGTTGGGCCTCACCTTGAGACTTGTGTCCAGTTCTGGAAATCAGACTTCAAGAAGGATGCTGACCGATTGGAACAAGTTCAGAGGAGGGCAACAAGGATGATGATCAGGCGGCTGGAGACCAAGCCTTGTGAGGAAAGGCTGACAGAATTGAGCACGTTTGGCCTTGAGAAAAGAAGACAGAGGGGTGATAGGATAGCACTTTACAAATACTTGAAAGGTAGTCAAACAGAGGAGGGGCAGGATCTGTTCCCGTTCATCCCAGAGTCCAGGACACGCAACCATGGGCTCAAGTAACAGGAAGCCAGATTTTGGGTGAATTTCAGGAAAAACTTCCTAATTGTCAGAGCAGTA